TTCCTGCCTCAGCTTGCCTTACAAGCCTGGGGGGGCTGATGTCTGTAAATACTTTGCAACCAAACCCCCCACACCGGCCCAGCCACGCACCTATAAATAAAAGAAGCAGCAGGCCTGGCCGAGGCACAGTGCCTACTTTGATGTGCTGTAATGAACTTTGCTTTTAATTCGGGGTTGTAACTTCCATCCCAACGCAAAACTGGGAGCTGCGGAAAAAGCTGCATGCATAATAAGGGGTGAAAGCAAGGATGCGGCGCGAGCTGTGTCTGATGTTGGATGAGAGGGAAGATAGCCTTTAATCATTTTGTTTTCAAAGAAGCTTTAGAGAGCTCTTTGAAGATGAGGCTTATTTTTTTTGAGAGCTGCTTCTAGAAATCGGAGGCAGAGATACACAGCGCCCACCTTCTGCCCACGTCCCCCCGCCCCCTCAGTTAACCTGTGTCTAGGACGTATGTACATACCTACATACACAGGCACATGCAAGCGTCCCTGCCCTCAGCACACGACCCTCTGGGCTGGCACCCAGTAAACATCTGCAAAGCTGAGCTGGTTTCTTGCTGCCTGGGGAGGGGAGACACTGATGGCTACAGCAACAAGGATAAACTGCCCCAATGTCTTTTCATCTGAGGTGATCACAGCTCCTCAGTGTGCAGAGGCAGGAAACTAAAGCCACTAGAATAGGATATCCGGCCTCCTTTTAATAATAAGAATATTCTTGTAATGGTAAAATTCTGTAAATCCTGTCTTACAATTGTTGGATGAAAGAGAATGATAATGAACATCTGATCAGACTTTATTTTAAGAGAAAACATCATGATGGAAAGGTGTGGAAGCTGTGCCTGTCCTGTAGTGCAGAATTTGGGTTGGGAGAAGGCAAGAGTCGTGTGTCACCTTCCTGCTGCAGTCAGGCTGTATAGGACCTGTACAGTCGGCTCCTTTATGGGCTGGGAACAGGCTTGTTCACCTGCATTTGATGGCACTGGGAGTGGGGGACCTTGAACATCACTGGAACACCCCAGGCTGGGGAGGGTGAGCGAGCTCTACTCACCAGCACTCAGTGCTGACAGCGCCCAGCTTTATTTTTCAAGAGTGAGGTCAGGATGGTGTTGTGTTAAATGCATCACATACAAAATAAGCACACAGCTTCTTGCTCCAAAAATGTTGCAGGCTGAGAGGAAAAACCTTGAGGAGCGGGTGTGCCAGCAGTCCTATTTTTTACCTATTTTTGCCAAGTGATTTGATCTTGGTAAAACAACAGCCAGGCTGGCAAGTGACCACAGGCTCTTGTGACATCAGTGGCACGTGTTGCCCCTAAGCAAGTGCCCTGGTCGTGTAATTACTGGTCTTGTACAGCTATGTCTTCTCTCCTGTGGTTTGTAAAGTAAGAGTGTGCTGGTATTTGAGGTTCTTTACAGATGCCACAGTGCCACGACTATGAAAGAGCCAAAATAACAGCCTAACTCCCCTCCCCTTCCCCAATAAGGAGCAAGCCCACACCCATTGTTATCGCAAGAGGCCTTGCTCCTGGTGTAAGAGTGTGTTGAGAAGCAGACAAACGGCAACACATCCTCACTGCTCCACATGAGGTCTGGGTGGAGGAGCTGGGCTCTGCCTCTGCACCTGGCACCATCCCCACCCACCGCTTCACCTGGTCAGGTCCTTATGCGCCCAGCCCACCTTCTTTCATTTTGTGGTGTTGAACTGCATAAACATTTCCACATCTCGAGTTCTGGTCAGGGTTTGGCTCTGACAAATATAATTTCCAGTCCCTTCAGAAAAAGAAAAAAGCAACCCCCAAATCCACATCTCCAGATTTGCTGCTGCATTTGGTATTAATTCTGCAAATATTTTCTTTAGAAATCTGCATTTCTGTATGCACAACCCCAAGACGCTATCATTTTCAGTCTGTGTGCCCATACAAGCATGTTGAAGGTTAAGTTTCAAAGAACTAAAGAGGTGTCATGTTCGGTGGGACCTGCCCTCTGTGCATTAAAACCAGAATCACTTTCCCCTCTCTGCCCTCCAGTCTGCAGCAGGTACTTAAACACTGGCCTTGTTTTCAGAGGTGTGAAGGCTTTGTGGCAGGCACTGCAGCTGGGGATGCAGCAAATAACACCTCGCAAAGGCAGGCTGTTTAGGGATTAAATGTGGTGTTGCATGCTAAAAGCAAGGCAAATAACTTTGGGAAGATGAGAGATATTGTGTCAGACTCCTATTTTCACTTCTAAGCGATGCCATGCTATTTTAGGCCAGGCCAAGCCTTGCCTTTTTTTAATTAGGTTTATTGCTATGGCTACATGGTGGCGTGTATGTGTTAACATTTGACTTCTGTATCTAATGTGACTGAAATAAACAATCCAGATCTGATAGTCCCAGTGGGGGAACTGACATTTGGATTTGGCTCAAAATTTGTGCTTTTGACACTTTTTAGACTCCCAACATCTCACTCAGAAAGCACAAAGCGCAGTGGGGTGGCTGCAGGGTAGAGCTACATTTGCCAACCTAATCCTCAACCTCACACTGAAGTGCTCCTCGGAGGCACACACTGCCATTGCTGCATCGTGTTTAGCTGATGGAGGGATGTGAAGAGGGGTGTTATAATGCCACTTAGGTATCAGTTTAATTAACAGAGTTTGCAAAGTCTCCCTAGAAGGCATCTTGTGCCACCAAACTTGTGCAGCCCAGCGCTGCTGTGCCCAGGTGGCCCTCCATGTCAATACCACCCCTGCTAAGCTTGTGTGTGGGAGACAAAACCAGCAAGGCTGGAGACAAAGAAGAGTATTTTACAGTGGGTGTGAGCATGGGAATGTCCCTGTGGTCCAGTGGGCCAGGATCCCACCTGCTCGCTGCCTCCCTGCTGCGCACTCCTACCCAGCACCATCACCCTTCTTCTGATGTGAAAACAAGCCTTGGTGATTGGAGAGCTAGGGGCGAGGGCTGAGGAGCAGGGAGCGGCTGTACAGTCCCCCTCCTCCTCTCCTTCGCCCCAGACCACCACTCCAGGAAGCAGATGGTCCCTGCAAGGCCAGTAGCCCAGCACCGGAGAGCTGCCACACGCCATCATCTGCAAAAGCACCGCACTCCCACTCCCATCAATCAGCACAGACCAGGTGCCTGGAATCATCTCTTGCCAATTGCCTTTTATTACCTTTAAAAAGCCAAGAAACCCAGAACAAGACAAAAACTGAGACCGTGTGAACATCATGCAATGGATTCACTTTAAAGCAGGCTGGGGGGCGAACGACCAAAAGCCGTGTTAGAGTAGAAGTATTGCTTCACCCGTGTCTGAAGGCCAGATCAGGGCGGTCTGTCACTGGTGGGGTTGGTGGCAACTGTTGTGAGTGGTCAGACCGATGCTGAAGCAGGAACTGGAAACACACTCATGAGCCATCATCCCAGGTAACCCCAGACCTGATTCCGACCCAAATGCAATTTCTTATGTGGTGATGACAGTGAGAAATACACCTAAGTCTTGTCGTGGGCAATTTCTGCCTAGGCAAAGGCTCTTTGGAAAGGAGCAGCACAACGCATACAGTTACAGGGGTTTTTTCAGTTAACAATTATGTTATTTAGTGCGACTGGTACTCCTGTAGTCAACTACTGGAGTGGATGTTATCCAGCAGGAGTGGAGTTACCGCACTCTGCCCTTCAGTCTCACTCTTGTCTTCAAAATTCATAGCACAAACTAGAGTAATATTAGCTTCTCAAAAGAATGTGTTTTGGAGAGTTTCAGCCACCATGGAAATAACTTTGCATCTTGTCCATCATGTGGATGTGACAAAACACATGCCCTTATTTTCCTGAGATATAGCCAACATTTGAGTTCATTACATTTAATGGAGTAGGGTCACCCATAAAGTTATTCATAAGGTATTTTCTGAGTGGTTTTCACCTTCTCTTTGAAAAAATAAATTATATCAGCATGTTCATGAGGTACAAATGGTGCTGGCATTTCGGCTGTTATTATGTTATTAACTTTTTTAACCTAATAATTTTCAATCAACAGTAAGAAGCAATTTTCACTCACTCCAGTGACCAGAGTTGGAGATTCTCGTAGGGTTCACCTTGACAGACACCTAATTCCCTCCCAGATTGAAACATTACCCCCAACACCCCCATTGTGGTTACTGAGAATTTCCATTTCCCCTTCAGTTAGGATTTAATTTAGAAGGCAAAGACTTCCTAAGCTATGGGAGAGTAAAGAGAGATGTTATGGGAGAAGGCATCTGATGAAATGTAGTTGACTCCGGATCTGAAATATTTTATCCCTCCTCAATGTAGGTTAAATTATTCTTCACCTTTCCCACATCCATAATTGTCGCTCATCTTGGACCAACTCAAAACCCTACTACTGAGTTCAGTAGACTCAAAATTGCCACTAGAACTGGAAAAAGAAAAAAAAAAAGAAATCTGTTAGTGTCCATATACAATATCCCAAGACTATACACAGCTATGAGATACAGCAAATTTAAGAAAGGCAATTTTTTTCTCATCACTGAGTATTTATTATATATAACAAATACATGAAAAAGAAAAAACTATATTGTGTGATATAAATAGTTTATTTACATTACAGAAAAACATCAAGACAATGTATACTATTTCAAATATATCCATACATAATCAAATATAGCTGTAGTACATGTTCTCATTGGTGTAGATTACCACAAATGCAAGGCAACATGTGTAGATCTTGTCTTAATCTTTTGTCTATAATACTGTATTTTGTAGTCCAAGCTCTCTGCAGTTAGTTTTGCCATTGTGGAAACATGCGCTCTTTAAATTAACCTTGTCGATGCTCTTGTTGTGTTGTCTGAACTGTAGTGCCCTGTGTTTTGCTTCTGTCTGTGGATTCTGTTGCTCCTGGGACATTTCCTGGAAAAGAGAGTTGTGAGAATACACGGCTCTTAATAACGCGGCTGCTTGAGACGCGGTGCAGGCAGCGGGGCACGTGAAGGCAAGAGAGGGATCCTCTGGCCCCCAAAACCCCACAAAACATACTGAAAACAAAAATATGGCAAGGGAAGGTTAAAGATTCCTGCTCCTTACTGGTGAGCAGAGGTGACTGCTGTGTTGTGACAGCCCCAACTGCTCCGCATCTCTCATCTTTAAATAACAGATTTATTTTCAGCAAGGCGCAGGTGGAAGGTTTAGGACGGTCTCACGCTCACCGGGTCTGTGAAGTATTTACAAAGTGGATGCGGGGGTTGCCTTTCCGAGGAGCTAAGCGTCCCCAATCCCTATTAGTCTCCATGGAAATGCTCCATGCTCAGGTCATTAGCAAGCAGCTACTTTACTTACGGGCGTCTGCACCGCACTGCGCTCCTCACACAGCTGCTTGGCTTAGCGCAGAAAGCAATTGCACTGGAAAGACCCAAATCTTATTTTCCTTTGGATGGCTGCAAAAGCAAATCTCTTCTGCCTCAGGACCTCACAGTGCTCCTCAGCAAGGGCATGCTTCAACGTTTTACCTGCAGCAGCGTCGGCTATCAGGATGCTATGAAGTGTTTCCCACTAATGGGAAGATAATAACGTTTTTCTGGTTTCCTCCCATCGAAAGGCACCAGAAAGCATGGAGAAGTGTAGCCTCAGGTGGAGGCTGCAGGAAGTTCTAAGCAGCTGAAAGCCAAGGGGGTTATGGCAGGAATTGCTAGGCCAGCAGAACCACAGCAGAGTAACCAATAACCTCGAAAAATGCTCGTCCTGTTTCCATTTGTGGTACCAGTAGGAAAATGGGTGAGCTAGAAACAACCAGCAATAAAATGGTCCTTTATCCAGGGTGACCTAGTTAACATTTTGCACAGGAGGAAGAAGCAGCTCTTCCTAATTTGGCCATGTATTTGTCCTCTTCCTTCAGCTGAAGCCCAGTATGAGTTTTTAGCCTGGGCTTGTCCCTTTCTGCTGTCTGCATGAGCAGTGACACAAGGAAGACTGAAACACCCGTTTGGAGTGGCATGACAGAAGGCCATGATAGTCCAGACCACACTGACACATTTTAAAAATACCTTTGTATTGGGCTAACTTGTTTTTCTGTTCTAAGGAGGCTTTCAGCAGCACCTTGTGAAACCCGATGTGCTTGTGAGAGCCCACCCTCTCAGTAGTGAGAGCTCAAAGCCCTTGCCTTCAGCTCTGGGTCAAATAACTAACAGCAAAATAGAGTGAAATAAGTTTTTACTGACCCCTAAAAATCAAAAAGGCCAGTTTGTTTTTTCCCTGTTGAATGGAGGTGATGCTATAGTTTTGTGGTGCCAACTGAAAGGCTAAACAAGAGCATAAGGAGTTATGAAGCTTTTTCAAATGCTGAAATACAATTATATAAGTGTCTGACAAAATATGGGTCAGATTGTCCTGACTGGCCTCACTTTTAAGCCAACGGGACCACCCCCTCATGAGAAACTGTATGGCTGTGCGCTATATTTTGCCTTGTTCCTTTCTTGGAAGCAGTAAAGTAGGCTGCTATCATTACTCCAGGAAAAATAAGCCTTCGTCTCTAGCACTCTCGGAGGTCACGGCAGAGCTTTCATTATGAAACTAATGCAGACTTTAGCTGGTTTGCGATTTTTATGACAAACTCACTATTCACCGCGTGTTCCTAAAAAGGCGATCAAACTTTCTGAGTGAGTCAGGGAGCTGTTGTTAGCAAAACACTGGGCTGATTCACTGAGCCACGTGTCCTGTGCATGCTGACAGCCTCCCAGCCTTGACTGTCCCTGAGTGGCCTCTCCCGCCCATTCAGCCAGAGATTGCACCGCACAACCTCACAGCGCTCCATGGGAGGCAGCACCAACACCACAGTGGGCACAAACAGGCTGGTTCTGTAGGACACACAGAGGAACTGGGTGGCTGGGGGATGACCAGGATGGTCAGCAGTCCCCGGGGATGGAGCCATGCATTCCAGATGGATACTGACTGCTTCAGCTGGAAACAAGGAGACGAGCATCTCACAGGCGCTTTCCCAAAACCAGCACTGACCATGTCTATAGAGTCAGTCCAAGGTCAGGAAAAATTGATTCAAATGTAGAGATTACTCCAATTAAGATGATGAAAAAGCATCTTTGAACCAAAAATGCCCATGTTTTAATTGCATAATACACTACACTACCAATTGATGGAAGCCTGGGAGGGCATCTGGGTTTCCTAAGAGGGGCATTAGCATTTAACCAGCTTTTAGACTTAATCATCTGCTAAAATTGAGTGACAGCTTTTCCTTGCTCCTTAACTCTTTAATCAAAAGTTCTTTGTAGCGCTCTGTGTGTGGGGATGCATTCATTTGTGAACACAGCAGTTATATCAATGTAAACTAGTTACTGGAGCACAGGCTGCCTGCCCTCCCTCCATTGAAGCTTGCTCGTAAGCTTGAGTTACTCACAATGTGATTCATAGCAGGTAAAACACATTATGCATTCATTTTTAATCAAGTTATTTCTTCACATAAATAAGCTGCTGTGACTAAACATCAGGGAAGCACTAAAAATGCAAAGCGGTAAAGAAAACTGCTGAGAATCATTACGACACTAGGCCATACCTATATTATTTACCATCCTTCTTCACTTTTATCATTGCTTCTCTTTTGCCTTACCTCTGAGCTAAAAGTCCTTGGGCACAGGGACTGTGCCTCTGTTCTACCTCCTTCCCTCCGTATCTCTTGGCCTCTGGTCCCCTACTCCTCCACCCCAGTCGCTTATTCCCATTGCTGGCACTCGTGATGAGCAGCCAGGCAGCCAAGCTCCTCAAGGAATTGAGCCACTTGAAAACAACTCACCAGTTCTGTTGGTTGTGTTTTCTGCTGAATCCATCCCTACTGGGTTCTTTGTGTGGCTGCAGAAATGCTAATGGTGGCACAAGAACACTGGTAGCACCAAGTGCCCGGGGAAGGGGCAAGGGCAGACCGCCCCTGTCAGCAGCACAGCTCATTTGTTCAGATTAAAGTGTCTGTACAGTGATGGCCCTAGAAGTGCCTGGGAACTGCTCAGAGCCTTCCTGCAATGGAGGACACCCTGCAGGTTTGCATCACTGTGCAGGTGTGATTTGAAAAGCAACAACAGTAATGATAGCTAAAAGATTTCACTGGTAGCCTTATGTGGCTCGAATGCAGGGTTTGGACGCAACACACCAAACCCATTTGATAATTTAATTAGGTGAAGTTGCACTGAAATAAGCAGCAAAGAATTTGGCCGTAGCGGCCTCTGAGTGAATGAAGTTTCCCTTCTTTCTCCCAAGAACGTGGCAGGGTGGTTTTAGCACTTTCAAGAGTTCAGGGTGCGTGGAGTTCAAACCAGTACAGTCAGGTTCTGCAAAACAGATAACTTCAAAACCTCAATTACTTATGCATATGCTGCCACAGCACTCTCTTGTCATGTGGATTTCTCTTAGGCCACTTAAGAGTACACTCTTGCAAATGTATCTCGAATCATTATGCTGGGATGGAGGATGCTCTGCAGTAATTACATGCATTACAGAAAAAAGTCAAAAGATCATAAATTAACTTGGTTACAAAGTGTGTGGGAAAAGGTATCATCTATGTGTGAAAACAGTGTGATGGGTAATTTGCATTACAGTACCAGATCACTCAGAGCACGCTGTCTTTAATTCTTCAGTATAAAGTACTCTGCGTCACTGTGTGAAGGTGACAAAACTAAGAGTCACTTGATAAAATGATACAGAGCATTTGTTCCATTATCAGTTACTACACCTTCTGCTTTTTCTTACCACATTTTTGGTTGTTTGAATTACTTCTGTGAATATCACCACAATATAATCTATTACCTCATTCGACATTTACTGTTGAGTTGATGGACTCAGCTTGGCCAAAAAAGTAGCTACGTTTCATCAGATGGTTTTGTTTTATGCCTTTAGGTCAGAGAAGGATTTATGATTTTTTTTTCCCCAGGAACAAATGCTACACTTGTCTTCCAGCCAGGTAGTGCAACACAGAGACTGAAATATATTAGAGATTTTATTTTCTACAGAGGTATGATAACTGGCTTTATTTTTTTTTAAGTACAATTCTAAAAGAAAGATTATCAGTGTTTGTGGCTGAATTAATTTAACCTCCTGATTTCTGAGAGAAGCCTGAAGATGCCTGAAGTTCAGAACTTACCTCAAACCCTCCCAGAGACAGTAACATAGTTCAGTGGGGAAGTGGAGCAGCAGTTATAGGAGGTTCCCCTTTACCCCTCTCATTCTGAACTATCCTGGGGCTGTCATTTCCATTCAAACCACCCTTCCCTTCTCATTAAAGAAAAAATAAGTAAATCAGATATGGCTTGGTGTGCCACCATCTAGTGAAAACCTTAAACATGTGCAGTACCTTTGAACATGTATACCAGCCTAATGAAATCATTTAATCAATGGGATCGCAAACAGGCTTAAAAGTTTGTATGCTTTGCCTGATTAGGACTAAGGGAATGGGCCCTTGAGGAATCCAGATGGAGATATGATTAGTTTTATTAAGTGTTGATCCAGCTGCTGTATTTACATTCCCCTTATTTATATGAACAATATTTGTCCAAGCATCTGAATACAAAATAGGAAACTTCATTTGCTGTAGGCACTGTCACTACCTGAGTTTGATTAAGATGGAAGTAGAAGTTCAGTTATAATAATGAAGCAGCACTGGCTGGCTGGACCAGGCGATATCTTGTGTCTGTTGGTGCATTAAGCAGCATTTGTTATCAGTAGTGTCACTGCAGAAATCTGTATAATCAGTGCACAAAGTACGAAAAACAATAGTCCTTTCTTTTTCTATTGCAAAGAATCAGAGATACTGACCTTGTAATACAGAGGACTACAACACAGATGATAGCAATCTGGATGGTTCCAATCACAGCTGCTATTAAGACATACTGAAATCGTACTGGACCTGGAACCACATATAAAACGCTGTAGTCCTTTTTTTCACAGTGTTGTCCAGTATAGCCGGCATCACATCTGAAACAAGAAGTATTTTTTCCAGTTATACCTGCTGCTTTTGAAGAATGCAAAAAAACCCAAACCTTAACAAAAAAAAATAATCTGTGGCCTAAGCAGAAGCTTATGTGTTTTATTGCAGGATGGGCTCCCCAGAAAGAGCACTGGTGCCTCATTGGACCTCTCAGAGGGAATACTTCAGGTCCTCAGCATCACCAAGGTCTGCAAGAGCGAATGACACTGCGATAATGCCAGGAGGTGCCTAGAGGACTAGGACTTGTCTAGCATCAAGTGGAACTACTTGCACGTCATGATGATAATCCATTTAGTACCTTGTACAACATATTTTAGATTTCTCCCTTACTTTGAGGAGGTGGGGGAGGGTGAAAAGCCATCTAGTTGTGGCTCCTTATGCAGATTAGCCCTAAGGAGGTGATAAGCAATCAACCAAGCTCCATATGAAATGTGATTAGATGTTCCTGCAAGTGGATACATCATTTACATTTTGTCTGGTTGCTATAAAAAGCCCTCTGTTGATGCTGCAACCATCCACCCCAACGCTGCCTGCTGTGCTGATCACCAGTTCCCATCCTGCAGCCTGACATCTGCCCTCTGTGATTTTGGGGAACAGTGGTTTTCCCATTTTAGCTCCTGCCCTGTTTTCCCTAAAAAGCCCAAGCAGAAAGATGAGAAAATTCAGGCCAATGGCAGCAGCAACCATGAGACTGAGCTGGATTGTCTGGGCTCTTCTCAGAAGTGTTAGTGGGGTACTAACCCTGATGGGTTAAACCTTAAGCTTCCACCCTTTTCCTCTCCTGCACTCTCACAGCAGCCAGCGGCTAAGGAAAAGGACATTTTCCAGCTGAATGGAGAACCTAAAATGCAGCAGCTGCAAAGAGCAATACATGCCCTGACTGTCTGTGGGAGCTGGGAGAAGATGTCTTGACGTTCTGCCCTGAGGGAGAAGTCTGGTCCATATCTTTTCTCTCCCAGTCCAATGTCTCATGAAAATGCTGCTTCATGCGTAATTGTCCTTTCCTTTGCCACCAGGCTGCTTGTTGGACTTCAGAAGTTATAAAGCTGCTTCTGCAGGGAGGCATTTGCTGCACAAACACATGCTTTCACCATTACTCGCCTGCCCCCCTACCCTAACCTCCTCCAAAGCCACCTCACACGCAAAGGAGCCACCGTCACCCCAGCTTGCTGCCCAGCGAGCATCACTTCTGCCACAGCAGGGACATATCCCTGGTGGCACTCCTCACCTTCAGACTGCGGAGGCTACCTAGGAGCTGTCTGCACACTTTGTGGAGTGCTTTTTAAAAAATATCTAAATATAACCAAAGGTTACTGAATGCTTTTACAATCAATTAACATTGTGCATAACTCAATACACTTTTGCTACATAAAATGAGGACTTTGTTGAATAATTCAAGTCTAATGGATTTTGTAGCACAAAGGGCCACAGTTACCATTATTTTCCATAGTTTATCTAGACGAATTGTTTCTGTAAGTCAGTATTTTCACGTGTGTAGCCTTTCCTCCTTGTTAGGAGAAGGGTTACCTGCAAGACGGTTCCAGCATGTTAGTGGAGTGCTCACACTTGCCATGCATGCAGAAGCCATTGTAATGCTCTGGACAAGGGATGTAGATCCCTCTTGCACTTTCTTCCAGTTTATTTGCATTCTCTGTGAACACAGGTGAAGGAAACATTAACCTGACAATGGAGGATAAGGTGAAACAATGGAAAGAACTCAGTGTATAAAAGAAAGGAAAATCAGAAGAACGAGATGTAAAAGATGTTTACAGGAAGCAAGAGCAAGAGTTTGCACCTTGAAACAGGCAGGCTAATGTAGATGCAAAGCTTTGCAAGGTTTTATGTCATTCTTTTACATATCTAATTCCTTTCAAGTTACAGAAAATGAGACAATAGAAAAAATAATTTGACTATTCAAACACTGATTACAGAACAGCACATGAAAAATGCCTGATCATTTCTGTTATCCTCTACGGACTGTCTCCTCACACCCAGGCTAGCCTAGGAACAAGACTCTGGACATTTGCAGGTAACATACCATTACAGTATATTTGGTCATTCAGTACAACATATTCAGAAAGATAATTTTATGGCTGAAGGAGAGGAGCAGGCGTCCAGCACTGAAGTTTATAATCGGTGCTGCACACCCATGCCCCAGAGCCTGCTGGCCTCCTCCCCGTCCCACTGCACTGGTATCTTTGAACTGGTTTGATTTTCTCTGCTACCTCTGCAGCTATTAAATAGTTACTGAGACTGCAAATCATGGCAAATACTTCCTTCCACGTAGGCAGGAAAATGGAGGCTTTGTGTAGTTTTGAAACAGGTATGTGCTCAACGTTTACATGGGCTGAAATGCAGAGTGTTACTTGCAATAAATTCACCCGAATTTTGTAGGCCACCAAGGTGTTAATTAATCTGGGTAATTTTGTCAAATTCTTCCATTTAACCAATACTTATGATATCTCAAATGGTAAAAATCCTTTTTCTGTGATAGTATCATCTAGCCACAATTAATTAAAAACAGAAGGAAAAAAAAATCTCATGGTAGATGTCTGAGGAAATGTAGTTTGCACACAAAGAAGCTGAAGCATTTGTATCCTCCAAAGGAAGTCCCTCAGTATTATGAAACAACTGCAATTTGTTGTTCTGCCTCCAAGCCAGTCGTGCCAGCAGTAGGTATGCTTAGGTGTTATCCCACCTTTGGGAGAAGTGTGTGCGGCAGATCCAAGATTCATATTCTCATAATGAATTTATTTCCTATTGCTGCTGTCCAAGGAGAATTTTAAGTCTCTAACAACTTGCACTAATAAAGTTGCTTTTATTGTCCTTATGTTAAAACAGGCGAGGACAAGCTCCCAGCAAATGACAATGACAGGGCAACTTCTACATCCCTGTAAACAGCATTAACTCCTTTTTCATCATTAGCACTTTCAGGACCCCTGCACTATAGACCATTATTGCATCTTTTTAAATGCACATATGTTGCACACAGACCTGTCTGCCTCTCCTGGTTCCCTGCTTACACTGGGATATCAGTGCGAGGCTGCCACAGGGGCTAATGACAACGCAGTGCAGAAGCAGGTATCACCATGTGGTGACGATTCCTGGCTTGGGGTTGACACCTGGGATGGCAGAGCCAGGACGGGCTGACAGGAGGCACGTTATAGGCATGACATAACCTTATTGAGAGCTTGCCCAGGAATTTCTGCTACTGGAAAGAGGTGGGAGCAGAAGGTCCATTTGCTCTGATGCTAAACATTTTTGGTTACCTATCACAGGTGAGACACTGGCTACCAGCATGTGAAATATATATAGAGTTATCATCCCACCAGTACTACATATATGTTCCTTTTTCCCATCTGGAAATCCTCCCAGAACTGGAAAAAAATAAAAAGTGTGATGTGCCAGCTATCAATGGCCTGCACACACACAGATCCCGATGTGTTCAGGAATTGTTGGACTCCATACTCATGTAGTGATCATCTATGCACCATGTCCGATGGTGTATGGGTGTGCTGGACCTCTGCTATGGTCCACATTCAAGTATATTTCTGTCCAGGAAACTGCAGCAAGAAATACGGCATCCTTATTAACACACACTTTTTTCTATTGTGGAAAACATTATGCTATTTCCTTAAAATCTTCTGTTATCAAGAGGAAGTTTGGTTCCTTTCTGAAGAACAGGAGACTGCTCTGCACGTGTGTGTGTTTGTGTGGGTATCTCTCATCCTTCCTTCTCAGGTACCAAGATATCTCTGCGATCTCTGTGCACCAACGCCAACCAGTGTGAGAATCCCTCCTCTGTCAGATGAGCCAGCAGTGTTGCTAAAATGGTAGGATACCATTTGGTTACTTTTTTTAAAGGCACGCTTCAAGATGGTGAGGGAAACTGTTACTTTCAGGACAGACTAATCTGCTAAGACTTGAGAGGGGGACCAGGACCTCTCCCAGACTCGCAGATGCTCTCACTACGTGCAGGCTGCAGGGCTGGTAAAAAGAGGAATGATTTTTCCTCCTTCTGCAGTGACATGGGTAGAAACCATGTTTTCTTTAAATAGGTCTCTAGCACACTTTAAAGTAAATCTAGGATCCTGCAGAACTTGTAATCACACCTCTATGTGTAATGTTATGATGAAAAATGCTTTACTGATTCAAAAATGAGATGGCCCAAGCCTTGCCAGCAGCTTATAGGATAAACAGTTCATACGGGAACACTTGTCATCTGGCTTGGAAGAAACCACAAAACTTAGACACGAATTGTCTGTGGTCCCTCATTTTGGCTGATGACTCTTCTAAAAGAGTTAGGGGTTGAACGTAAAGGCAGAGAGGAGGGAAAACCTTGTATTTAGTTTGATCTGCCATTTTGGTCATTCGAAAGGTGAAATGAAAGCACAATGAAACCATCGTTTACTTCAGATAAAGAAGTTCCCCTCCTCTTCCAGCACATTTTGAATTTACTCAGAATAATTCCCCTGCCTCAGAACAGGCTGTTTTTCTCATTACACAAAACATATTTTCAGATTCAAAACAGAGATGCAAGATGTGCTTTAGAAGTTCCTTCATGTTAAAACTGAATGCTCTCATTCCTAAAGAAGCTGAACTCTTTTCAGTAATCCAGCCATCAATGAGATACTGTCATGAATGGATCACAGGCTTTACATCACTATGAAACAAGAACTATAAATCATTTCTAAAAAGAGACGATATGAATAAAAACCATGTTTCAATTATGAATCAAATAAGAACTGTACAAAGTTCAAAAAAGCAAAACTAAATTAACTAAATGAAGACATCCTCCCCTTATTGTAATTTTGGATTCTTTATAAATTCAGTACTGGAGGCCATCAGCACTAATCAGACTACAGTATCACTAAACTAAAGAGCCCCTCTACCACACCAACCTTACACCTGCAGGGAGCAAAGCTTGAATACAAAGTTACCTGCTATTTTCCCAAGCACAGCAGATCAGTGTTTGGAAGGCAATGACAAAGACCAAATTCAAAGTTAGTCAAATTTCAGTAATGTTAAAGTCAGTAGCTCCTCTTCAAACATTAGACCTGCTGCACTGTTATTGGCAACTATACGTGAAAGTTTTATTTACAGCAAAAAGACAGATTTGTGCCTTTTTGTGATGCCTAGAAATTGAGACAGACGCTGTAAAGCTTAAAGATAAAACTTGGATGGAATGGGTCAGTCTCTCCTTTCTCTGGACAAATGTAATTCCT